TACGGTTTTGAGAACAGATGTACAGATTTGTAAACAGACAGATGAAGTGAAAAAGTTTGAACACATTTTGTTATTTTTTTTTTTTTTTGAAAATGTTCTGAAAGTAAAACTGTGAATTTTTTTAATAACGTGTAAAAAGTATTTCTTTAAATACGAAATTTAGATCATTGTTTTAATTAAATATACATACATAATACATCTTAGATACACACGTAAGTATATACATATGTACATATGTGTGCATGTACATTTCTCGATTGTGGTCATTCACAACGGTTCTCTTATTGTCAAGTGAGATGTATACTTTATGTTATAGACTTACAACATATTAATTCAATTTGTACATTCATAATACATGCATATTTTGTGTATCTATTGTGTTATAAAAATTGTAAAATACCGCAATTTACATATGTACACATATATAAATGTATATAAATAAAAATAATAATAAAAACCGTTAATTTTTTTGCAAATTATAAAATTTACGTCCATATTTGCAGAAATTTGAGATGCGCACTGATGCGCACTTTCATTGACATAATATATTTACGGTATATAATTATATTATTATGTACATATTGTCAAATAGTTTCAGGAAAGCAGTTTAAGGGAGAAAAATTGTACTGTTATTGAATTATAATGTTATACATAATATATTAAAAAAAAATATGTATAGATAAACAATAACATAACAATTCCAGTTTTTAAATCAATTGAGAGCATAATAATAATTGTTTCAACAATTCAAGTCAAAAACTAAAAACACAAAAAAACCGATGAAATCATCATGGTGTGTGTTTTATAATTTTAACCGTGAATAACCTAAATAATGAAAGAATTGTATTGAAAAGAATAAAGAAAACTAGAAGGAAAAAGAAGTAAACAACGTTTTGATGTGTTCGTTTTGGCACGGGGAAAAAATAATAATAAAAACAATAAGACGAAAATTATTAATTTCGAATAATCTAAAATACAAACACCTTTTGGAAAGTTCAATAGTCAAAATTAATAATAATACATATAGGTATATGTATGTACATAAATAAAAATTTTTCAAAATAAATAGAAATTACAATTCATAAGCCTTTAAGACAAAAATAAATAAAATATCAAAGCTTATTTAGTTTTATTTATATTTTTTGTTTCTTTCTACTGTTTATAATATTATATGTACATATGTATGCACGTATGTACAGGGAAAGCGAGCACGTTTTTTTTTGTGTTTTTTTCTAAACACTTATAATAATAATAACAATAACAATATTATAATGTATGCCTGTATAATTTTTAAAGCAAAAGTGCTCTCACCTGATTGAAGGCTATCCGCTTATGTATGTATGTATCGCTTTCTATTTATATGTTTGTGGTAACATCCAGATATATGTATGTATGTTTGTACAAACATGCTTATAGAACATTTCAATTTTAATTTACTTATTTTATACATAGGTACATAAATGAACATGAAAAACTTTTGATACAATGTATACGTTGTACATTAATAAAATATTTATTATTTATACATATTTTGCGAGTGATGAACTTGATGTCCCAGGCCAGATGATATACAGTACGACTCATGTTGTATATGTACATATGTACGTATTATTATTATTATGCGATGGGCATAGATTTATAACGGAGTAAAAATTTTTGGAAGTTTTTCTTTTTAAAGAATTTAATCATATTCGGAAATATTTTCAGATTTGCTGAACGACTTCGGCTTAAATTAATTCCAATTTTATGTTTACCAATTAAGAAGTGAGAATAATAATATTAATGACTGTTAGTTATAAACATGTACATATACAAGTACATTATATTATATATTTTTATTGAAGACATTTTATTTATGTACACACATATGTACTTATGTACATATTTGAATTGTTATTCTTGTTTAAATATTTTTCCACAATATTTTTTTTCCACTAATAATATTTTTATTGCGTACATATAAGTATATAGATATGTATGTTACAGTATATAGATATGTATGTTAATATTTATTTTTAAATTTTTGATTACATTTTTGTAAATTGTTTATCTACATGCATACATATACATATTGTCAACAACAAATATTCATTATGTAAAGCAAAACCCTAATATTTCAATGCTTTACACGCATAAACATACATACGTACATAATTATATTAGTTATAATTTTATTAACACAATTACTTTATATTTAGTGATATTATTGTTATCATATAAAAATTAGCTCAAATAAAAACTATAAATATTCTTATGTAGCAACATATACATTTGCATGTATGTATGTATGAATGTACATGATTTAAAAATTACGATTTATACCTAATAATTGAGTTAATCAGTTAACAAATAAAACAAATTTTTATTTACAAATGAAACATGTTTTGTAAATATCTCCATAAACACATTTGTATAAATATAGGAATATATGTATATACATACATAAGTATGCACAAGTATTTATGTATGTATGCATGTACTTATAAAATTCACTTAAATAGCACTTTAATTTAACACCTTTCCTTAAGTTTCAATATACATATGTACATACATATTTACATAATTATGTATTACTTGCAATTTTTGCTTTTGATTGTAAATAATATACATACATATGTACATATTTATGCATGTATTTGCCTATGTAGGTTTATAAAATAAGCAAAAATTTTTATATTTACCTTTACGATTTAATAAAAATTACTTTAAAAATTTATAATAATAGAAATATGTTGACTTTTCGCAATTTTAAGTCTTTTTTTAAAAGGCGACACCTATACTTTAATTTTTTTTTTATTATAAACATAAACAAGTGTCACACAAACATAGTATGCTTGGAATGTTTTCAACACACTAATCCAAAAATTTATACAATTTATAAGTAAACAACTATTAAAAGTTAATTATAACAAGTGTTTATTGCTCATATGCATTGATAACTACTGGACTTTGAAAAAAAAATTTTTTTTATACTTTTATCATTTCAATAAAAAATATAAAAAAAAAAAAACAATGGAAAATATGAAAACAAAGATAAAGCGGGACTTCAGAATTATCTGGCGTCTTTTTTACAGAGTAAAGTTTTTGAAGCTATTTATTTTGAATATAGGCTAATATAAAAAGTTTATAAACTGAACGCCCTAATTGTATATCATCCATATGTGTATTATATACATATTTTGAAGAAAATCATATATCATGCTTATGTAAGACTTCATAATAACAAAATTAAGTTTTCTATTAACCAAATCCGACCACGAAAGTGGTGAAAGATTTTTGCTGTTAATGCTGAGAACCGCAGCGGAACCGCTGTCAATCACCTGCTCAGTATTTTGCACAGATTTTGCAGTTACACATTCCATTTAAAGCAGATGATGTCAAAAAAATCGCCTGGAATGGGATTTAAGGATTTTTTCGATAAAGTAGGATTTTAGGCGTCGTTATTTTATCTATTTTGCCAGGCGTCGGTTAAATTCGCTTCATTCTGCCTGGTCCCATTTATATGTCTGTATTCTATAGAAATTTTAGCATTTCGCCGCGTAAAATCACTCTAGTTGTTTTTACCATAAAGTGTCCGTTCACGTCGGTGCATAGTACATACATATTTAAATTTTTTCTAGTAGTAATTTTAAATACATACGTAAGTAGGTATTGTGTTGGCCTATTAAATTTTAAAAGAGTTTACATAATTTTTTTACACATTTTTTTCTACTTTTGATATAACAGAAGAAATGGCAAATTTATGATATTCTTTGAATATGATTTTTGCACTAATACGCCGTTTGAATGCGTATCTCTATTATTTTTATGAAGTTTTGCTAATAAAACTTTTCGTACGAATCATACACTAAAATATACAATCGAACCTCCATCACAAAATTATCGAGTTAAAGAAAATTCGCATTAAAGGGGTAAAAAAAAATAAAATGCAAATTAATTATTTTCATTCCCATTTAATTCAATATAAATTAATTAGGAAGAGAAGAATTAGTATTTTTTACGTTTGTAACATGAGAAAAATTAACGTACAAGATTCTCTAGTAAAATTTCCGAGTAAAAAATGTATATTAGTTAAAGAGATTGTTTAGATTAAAATTGTCTGATTCTAAGAATATTCCAGTTTGAACAAAGTTTTTATCTACAGATTTTGGTTTATCAAGGGCTCGTATTGAGAGATTAGAAATTTAATATAATTCTGCTTATGATGCAAAGTACAACAAAACAGCTTATGTTAAGTAGTATCTACTTTAAGTTCATGTTATAAGAGTTTGACTGTGTATATCGATAAAAATGCGTTCTTATTTTGAAAATGATAAGTGTGATTAGAATTTATTATATTGTTATTATACAAAAAATTAATATACCTGATTGTAGTAAATATATCGCAAATTTCAATTATATGATTTATGATAACCAGAATTAATAAAATTAAATAGATTTAAATATGTAGGTTGCATAACGGCATTAATTTATCTACACAAGATTAGTGTTTTCATGCCTCCAAAGCATGTTAATTATAATTTCATTTGCAGCCATCAGAAATTCAATTTAGATTTTTGATTTATTTGAATTTAAAAAAATAATACCCAAAAGGTTTCAACATAATCTAAGCTTATCCCATTACTACAAGTAATTAAGAGTTAATTTGAGGACCTGAATACAAAAGTCAATCAATTCCGAATTTATATTCAAAATGCACAAATTAAAAAAACTTGTGAAAAATAAAAAAATTTACTGATTTATTGAGAAATAATTAGAAAAAATTCAAAAAGTTTTCACAATTTTCGAAATGTTTTTCTCTTATAAGTATTGTCTGAGTAATTACTTTGATCATTACCGACATATTTTTTGTTAGTGGGTAAAAAAGAGTTACTTTCAATAAATTTTAGGGTAATTTTTGTTTACTCTGAACGCAATTTGACACCCCTACTCAAACAGCTGAGAAAATTTTCAGCTGTTTTTTGACTTTTTTTAATGTCATGTGGTTATGAATGGAGAAATTAAATAAACGATTCCGGTAAAAAATTTATCTGCAAGATTTGTTAACATATGTACATAATTTTGTATAAGTTTTTTTAGTATAAAATAAACTAAATTTTATAAGAATTATAGAGATGTCACGATTATTTTCATTTTTGAAAAATAGCAAAAAATTTTTGGTAAGACAAAATAAAAAAAAAAAGTTTTTTGTAAATTCTATTTACAATGGTATTTTTGTTATTGAACCCCTATAGGTTGTGCCAAGGTTATTTGCTCAAACAAATGGATCTGAAGTTTCCGAATCAAATCTAGTATCAATTTTAAAAAATAAATTTCCAAAGGTATAACCAGAAATTGCGATGGTGGATTATTTATAGCATTATATTATTTTAATATTTCGAAATTGATTGGCTTTTTGCATTTCACCATTTATTCAACCGCTAATATACATGCATATAATTGTGTTTTGAATTGACTTCATGTTAATTCTTATAATTTTAGGCGAATGTTGTCGAAGTAGAAGATATTTCTGGAGGATGTGGTGCAATGTAATTATTAATATTTGAAATTTTTACAAAATTATTTTAAATATTTTCATATAACATATATTTCATAGGTTCAAAATATTCGTTGAAACATCAGAATTCGAAGGAAATACTGTGATAAAGGTAAAAAGATATGTGTACTATAATATTAACAAATCATTCTAAATATTTAAATAATATTTTAGCAACACAAAATGATAACAGAAGCGTTAAAGGATCAAATTAAAGATATGCATGGTTTAACAATACAGACTTCTATACCAAAAGTGAAATAGTAGTTTCAAAGTGAATAACACAAATAATTTCCCATTTACTTTAAAATAAATAATATAACGTAGCAAGAATTAATTTTTGAAATGTTAGTTTAAAATTAGACTTACCGATTTCAAAGTTAATTTGTATGTGAATTTAAATATATATCAAGTGTTAGATATAAAACAAAGTCGATTATTATATCTCACAACTATTTAGCTGTTTCATCAAAACAAAACTGTGCTGATTATTTATGTGGCATTTAATCAAATTGAAGTTTTACATTTTAATTTAATGTGTCACTTCATAATTCGCTGCGGCAAAATTACGCAACTTTTTCCATATTTGGTAATAGTGATGTCGTTTTCGGTATACTACAAGTAGTGAATATATATTGCGATTTGTTGTACTTATTGAGAACGAAATGCTTTTCAGGATATTTTTTAGTTAGTTTCATTTTTAATCACCAATTTCGAAAACTAATAAATAAAAATATGAAAAGTAAATATATTTGTGCATTTTGCGCAAAATATTCAATTGTGAAACATTTAACTGTAAAGTTTTTACGTTTTAAGATGTGACGTCATCGTGAAGATATTTTTATAAGCAATTTAATGAGGATGCCTATATATGTATAGGCTTTTCATGTTCATTTTATTAAAAATACCTTTTAAAACCACAAAGTTGATTCCGACACCGACTCTCCCCTCGATTGATGGATCTGCATGATAAATCCATTTCAAAAGAACATTTTGTGATATTTTGTACCCTAATTAACTAAAGTGAAAAGGACTATTTTCAAACCATCGGTTTGACAGACTGTATTTTTTATTTGGTAAAAAATTATATTTACATAAATTACATTTTTTACATAGTAACTATATGGCAATCACAGTAGTTTTCAAGCATTTTTTTTTCATATTGTTAAACAAGGTAAGAAAATACCTACATATGTACTTAAATATACTAACTTTGGTTTTTTAAATAAAAATTATTTTTGTAAATGAATGAAAAATATGAATAATAAAATATAAAAATGGTATGGTTTAACTAATGAAGCTGTATTACAGCCCAAGCGTTTTACACCAACATGATATCGTATTTCATCCGGAGAACGACATGTGAGCTCTAAAAGAAACATAAAATTAACTACAATTAAAAGATTTTTCTAATTTAATCTTAATTCATTTTACCAGTGCATCTTATATTTGTTGTGTCTAGTTCTACAACAAAATTAACAGCTGGACAGTTATTGTCATCCACACATGAATCGTTAATTTCAAATAATATTTCACCGGACTGTGAATTTTTAGAGGTAATACACTCCGAAGGCTGATTATCAACGTTTTTACACACAGTAATTACCCCATAAAGGTCAGCAACTTGAAATTGTACCAATATATGACGATTGTGCAGCATTTCATACGAATTTATGCGATAAAAATTTTTAAATTCTGTACCAATATAATCTTCATATTGAGAAAAATCACCTAATATATAAAGACATACATAGATTTAGTACATACGGCTTTTTTATAAATGAATTAAATTTATTGTTATAGCAAAATTTTTGTTTTACTTTATAACGTACAAGATAATGGCCTTAACCACTTAGGTATAAATCGGATTTTTCTTAATAGTTCCGTTGATACTGCTTTGACATCCAGGTTTTCAGTTTTAATAACCGTAAATTTCTATAATTGAAAAAATTTATATACTTTTATTAATTGGTTAAATTTATTATTTAAAATCTTTTACGTCTTTTGAATTTAACGGATTCGCCTTTTCGCTTGCTACCAAATCCTCAAATCGCGCAGCATCATCCGTTACAAAAAGAAAATATATATTCTGGTTGTATTTAAAAGATCCTTCTATTAGCCTTTTAGCATCATCAAAGTCGTTCTAAAATAGCAGAGAAATTTTGTAGTATCATGGCCAAAACCTAATACTCAGTATTAAATGAAGTCATTAACATAATTTTGTATAACATAACATTAATTTTGTTCTGGTTTTAAAAATTATTCAATTATTTACTTATGTACATAATATATGATATGTATGTATACTTACATCAAAAATTCTTTGGCTTTGTGAAAATATTATAATAACCGGAGATAATCCAACAATTTCAGAGCTTTCTGAATTTGTAGAGTTTTCAAGTGAAAATATAATAGTCGATAGACTCTTCGTTAAAGATAAACCTTGAGGGGCTGAAATGAAATTTATTCCAATACAATTTATAGTCTGTCAACATATAACTGTATAATATGTAAATATAGTTGAATGTATAAATTATTACGTCTTCCATTAAATTGTTTCAGTTGTTGAAAACCATTTATAATACTTTTAGTTGATTTTATCATATACTGTCCAGTCATTCCATTTATTACTGAAATTTTTGTTGATAATGGTGTTACGTCCGAAATCTCGCTAATGTACCTAGAATTCGTAAATTAAGTTTAAATAATTCTTATTCACATTCAGTAAATGAAAAAACAACGCACGATATTAATTTAAAATTTTCCGATTGATTTCTAGATCCATCAAGAATTAATGTAATGTCAGCCATAGCTCGACTATAACCTTTACATCCAAAATTTTCTATTAAAAAAGAAGCTCTTTCAAAAAATTTATCAACGGCATTATCACAAGCTATTTTTAAAGTTTCATCTTCAACCAAAGGTGTTTTAGCAGTATATTGCATTAATTTGGCGAACAAATAAGTCTCATATTTCAGTTTTTGTCTTTCAATATTTTTCAAAATATCTCTACGTTTGCAAGCGCTATTAACATCTGAATCTATATCATTAAAAGATTTGAAGAATATTCCACCATCATTACTAATTTCCTCATTTCGTGTGTAAAGTTTCCTTTTTAAGTTATCGATTTTAAAATTTGGTATACCTTTTTTACTATAATATAATTCTATAACTTGTGATAACCGTAATAACGATAAACTTGATATCCAACTATGAATATTATTAGATATATAATAGCCATCAATTGATGTTAATATTTCACTATCAGTCATAAACCAATTAAGATTATTACTATCCTTAATATAATAAGAAGTTGGATACTCAAAACTGTTCCAATTACCCGGGGTACCTACGTGAACTAAAAAAAAAAAGAAAATGTACAGATTTCTTTAGAAATTTTCTTATACGCAATATGTAAATAAAATATTTTATCTCACCATTAGTATTATAATAAGGGCTTTGAAAGATGCAAACTTCAGCTAAATCTCCAGCTAAATTAGATGCAAAAGTATTATTAATACGATCATTCATTGTACTTAAGAGTGATATCTTATAATTGTGCTTTGATATTTGATTTCCATAAACTGTGCTATAATCCATATTATCATCATTGTAATCACGAGCTTCATCAAAATTATTATTTTCCTTATGAAGCCGTTGAAGATATGGGAAAAGTTCCTTAAGTTGTACAGCTTGTGGCTGTAAACCAGCTGCAATTGATGCTATAAGAATTCCCGGAGAAATAGTACCAAAATTTCTTGTCCGTATTGTACCACTTTCAATTGGACATCTTGATATTTGATATGAAATAACTGTGGATCTTGTGCTTTCATTTTCAACAATTCTAAAAAAATTTTTCTTTTTAGTAATGGAAAACTAAATGTGTGACTATGTATATTAAAAAAAAGCTAACCTATTGGCTGGAAAATCGTACTTATGCCCATCACATGTTAAATGCTCATCACCTCTTACAATTGGTTCTATGGTAGAGCTCAAAATTTTGTGTAACGTACATATTTCTAATGGTGTTAAATATTCTTCAAATTTTAAATCTCCAGGTACATTTGAAATTAGTTTTAAAAGTATTGAATGCTTTTGTGATAATAAATCATTCGGACTATATGGTATAACGAATTCTGATTCGGATGCATTCAAATTTCTTTGCATACCATCAAATCGCAAATGATGAAGTAATTTCACGCTTAATAATCTTATATCTCCAGCTGTATTCAATGAATTTTCTAATTTTCTTATGATTTCTAATAGAACTTGTAATGTATTTGGAACTAATGCTTTTAAATTTTCTCTTCTATAACATTCCACCAAATTGCCATTTAATGATATTGTATCACATGAAACTGAAATATAAAAAATTATAAATTTTTTTTGGTTTTAATTATCTTAAAATATTTGAGAGGAGACAGTACATATTATTTCTTTAATTTTTTACTTATGTTGCAACATTATGTGTTTTCAGATAACGATAAAAGAGTGAGTAATCCGTTATTCCATTAATACGATAATAAATAAAACATGAACATTTGAAATACGAAAATATTTTTCTTATTTGATATCAGGGATTTTCTGTATTTTATTGCACGAACAATTTTTTTTGAGAATCATTCTTAAAATTATGAAATTTTCGAAAATTAATCTTGTACAGTATTGTATGCGCAATATATTATGAAGTCCATGCAATTGGTAAAATAAATTGAAATATGTAAAACATTAAATTTTTTCAATATTGTCAAAAAAAAAAAAGCTAGATTTAAAATTATTAAACAGTGGGGGGTTTATTCTGAGTATCGAATCGGTAAGTGATAGTGATAATAATCGTAAAAAGTTCAATATTATTATTCTAAACACAAAATCAATTCATACGAAAGATTCGTGTCCATAATAAATATCATTATCACACAGTGATTCGATACTCAGAATAAGTCGCAGAATTTCATACACGAAAATATTATTTTTTATAACAATCTACAGTAAACTGTATTTATATAGAACAATTACGAAAGATTCACATTTACGTTATAATACTTATGTATACAGTAAAATTAATTTATTTCTACAATATTCATGCAATTATTAGTCTTTTTGATTTCAATATTTATGCACTTATTCAAAATTATGTTTATAAATTTTTAATATAACATTATCTGAAAACTGTACTAGATAAGCGATTAATTTAAATTATAAAAATTCACTTACCATTCTTTTCAAAAAAGCTTAGCAATACTAATCCGATTAATGTGTACTTTGTAAACAAATTAAAATTTATAAAACTTTTTACCATTTTTTTTTGTTTTTTAAGTTAAGAAAATTAGCTTGAATAACACATTTAAATAATATATTTTTTAAGCTTTAAATTTTGCAAAATAAATTTTTTATTTGTATAATAAAATTTTACTTATATAAAAAATAAACTTTTATACAGTTTTATTTTTAAGATCACTTGATTTTTGATTTTTGTATTACAAACATATACATATATTATTTTAACTACACATACAAACGCATGATATAAATGTATAAATAAATCATGCGCATATCTCTCTTTAATATTGTTATATAGCAATACTTTTAGAATATAAACGGCATGTTCCTGTAAGATAATGAAATTCACTAAACAAATAAACAAAAAAACAAATACTATTTACATATTGTACTTTAGATAAAAGAATTATACATATGCAGTAAGTTACACATTGTTCAATAATTAATTATGTATATATTTATTATAACAATCTCTATTTTATGATAATTTTATAATTATTATTATTTAAATGAGCATTATAATTATAACACTTATTATGTCATAACAACTAACTGAATTTATTTTACTACTAGGTAATTTGTTTATTTTTTTTTTGTTTTCGAAATACTTAGGTGTGCTTTGTACGTATATTTTCATATATTTTGTGTGTAAGTAAGATATCTCAATATATTATAAGAATTAAGGCCAGGACATTAGCTTTTCCTCTCAATATTGTTGAACAATTCACATTGAAATTTCATAATCTTAACTCACCGATCAACATTATGTTTATATTTTTTTGTTTCAAATCATATAGTAAATATATGTTAAGTGTTATAAATAAATTTTAATAATTTTCAGTAGAAAATTTACAAAGTAATCTACATAATATTCTTTAAAATTTTGAATTAAATGTTTTCTTTCTCTCTTTTTAAGTTATTAGGCCCGTATTTTCTTTACTTTAAAAATCATAAAAGTGCACTAAATATTTTTTATCGTAAAATGACAGTAAACTGACAGTATAAGTACTGAGATTTTAAATATTAGAGATTCTGCATTAAATCGATTTACAGTTTAGTTAGGTTATTTGTTATCATATACAGAATAATATTCACATTTATTACATTACATTTATATAATATTATAAAATAAGCGTACATCAAATAATAATAGGAGATTCGAGTAAAATAAAATATTATGAATATTGAAAAATTAAAGTTTAGCAAAATATTGTTTAAGCATTTTAAAAATTAACTTTATTAACTTAAAAAAAATGAGAGAGCAAGTAAAAAGAGAAAATAAAATTAAATGCTGCAGCACAGCAGTTTTTAGTACTTCCATTATATTTATACATTTACTGTCATTTCGAAATATATTTTTGTGAAAAATCTCTTACCGTGATTAAAAAATAAAGAGAAAGAAAACCAATAGTTTAGCTCTGTATAAATATCTTGGAATACACAAGAGAAAAATTATTTATTTTTTAAACGAATAGGTATAACAATTTAAAAAATATTAAAAATACAATTATTTCATATTTTTTTTAATATTAATTTTTTAAAATTTCAATAGAAATAAAGCAACTTGTGTAAACATCAACATAAATTTTTGCTTTGCCTTTGCTTTTAAAAAGTTTATTTAAAAACGAATGACAAATTTTTCACCACATACAATGACTGCATTATTATATGATATTGCGATTTTTTGTTTTTTTTTTTTAATTATTTTTACTATTTATTAATTTAATTCAACAACAAAAACAAAATTAAAATGCAATCGATTCGATCGCGCTAGCCTTAGAATAATAACTGAAATTTAAATTAGTAAAAAAAAAAATTATTAAAAATTGCTCGAGAGCTATTTTTATAGTGAAATACACAAAAGCTTTTTAGAACATACACCATCATACATACATAGAAATGTACATAATGTATTTATGTACATAAAATTATAATACACGTGCGTGTGTGCATATGTATTTGCTTTTTATTGCTTGAATAAGTTCTAACTTACGCTCTTCTTTTGTACATACCTACATACATATATGCATATGTTTACTGAGGTGTACTAATTTTTCCGCAAATTATAATTTGCGCGCGCATTTTTAGTAAAATTTTAAAAATTCGATATTTTAAGTTTTTGTTTTGCTTTGTTTTGTTCTTTACGTACATAGGTACCTACTGTAAATAAAAAGTTTTTTTATAATTTGTGCTTTGTTTTGGTTTTTTTTGCTATTACTCATTTTTGCAGCCTAAATACTCGAATGTTACATATGCTGATGCATATATATCAGTGAAGCTAACCTAAGTGAATTAAATTTAGGTACAAGTAACCTTTTCTTTGCCTATAAACTAAATTTAAACTAAATGTTAAATGGTAAATAACGTCAAAAAAAAACAAATAGCGAAAACTTTATTTGAACAAAATTGCATTTGAATTTTGCATATATACTAGGAATGTATATTATTATACATAATATACATATGTATTCGGATATGTATGTATGTACGCAAAATATGTAAATATAAATCATATGGTGTAAATAAAATGTGTATGTATGTTGATATAATAATATAATTCAAGTTTTTAAAATTTCTGAATAGAAAAAAATTATTTTAAAGTCCTAAATAAGTTAGTAATATAAAAAACCGCATGTATACATATAAACTACATAATATTGTGCGTATGAATCATTTTCCAAAATTATTATTATTTACACAAGAGCACTTTTAGTAACAATAACTGTAATGATGAATTTAAATCAACGAAATTAACGGTTCCTAATTAAAATTTTCAATTTCAAGAATCTAGAGTTGGAGTTTAAAAATTAACTTAATGGTTTTTAAAGTTTTACATAGACGTCAATAATATTTTTATTGTAAATTGCACAATACGGCGCGATATAACTTCGATATGATTAATTTTGATTATTGTGCACCATTTCCATTAAGGCTTAGCAGTTAAGAACATAATGGAGGATTATGTATTAATATATGTATGTATAAACCTACTAACAATTTAAATATCTGTTATGGCAGAATATTTCATAAAATGAACCCATCAAATTGTGTATTTTTAAAAAAAATTAAATGAAACTTGAAGACTTAAACTTGAAGTTTGTACACCAACAACATTTTATAAATATATGTACATATATATGTCTGTGTATAATACATAATATGTACATACATATGTACATTTTGAATGCGAGCAAATTTTGTTTTGACATGTATAAATTGTATTATACATGTCAAATAAACTTATTTGTTATGTTGTTATTCGAATGTTATATTATTTTAATGTATGTATGTGTACATAAATTCTGTAAATAATTAAGTGCACTTTTCATTAAATTAAATTAAATTAAAAAAAAAAACACATAAGATATTAGAAGAGTAGTTTCAAATGAACCTCACTGTATATTAATATAGATAACACATATTATGAACTATTTTATTTATTCCAAATAATTTGTAGGGTGTACAATCGTTTCCAAGTTCTTGTTTAAGGCTGAATTTACAAATAACACAATATATTTTTTTAATATATTTTTTTTATATTAAACAAATACAATAAAAATGGTGAACTAAAATTTTATATTTTAATGTCCTAATTTGTTATTAAAATTACCGATAAAATTTCAATAAGAACATAATATTAAAATACAATTAATATTAATTTACAATTAAATGATCTGACATAAATTCTTTATTTTATGCTTCAACTTAGGATGACTGCCTTGTATTTTCAACTATATCAATTAGAATACTAAGTTTGTGCATTGCTAAGCGTTCCAAAAAATTGGGAACATAAACTCATACCTATAGGAATTTCTTCATATAATCTTATCTTGTTAAAATATATTATCTATATAGGTATAGCATAGATAATTACGATAAGATAACAAATTTTGAAAAAAATGAAAAAAAAAACACTTGATGTGAAGAACAACCCTATTTTTTTAATTCATTTCATTAATTATCCAATGAATTCAATACTATAATAAAAAATTAAATACAAAATTTCGATATTAATTATTCAATCATATCAATGAGCTTTTATATCTTTGAACTTTGCTATTTGTATATTATATATGCGTATATATACGTATGCATGTGTGACGGTATTTGAATTTGTCAAATGTCAATGATATATTATGACAACAAAGTTAATTGAATTTTATATATAAAACCAGCTATAGTGAATTATATGATTGAACAATGAATCATTAAATTAAATTTTAATGACTCAAATTCCTTAAATATAAGTTACACACTTAAATATAACAATTTACGGGAGAAATTTTATTTTTTCTGAATATTTGCAAAAAAATATGAAATTTAATGTGTTAGGATTTAGTATGGCAAGCTTTTATTCGCAAGTCCTTTTTACCGGTATAAATCTAATTATAACCAACCGAAATTTTTGGCTTATTTTTCTGAATCTGTAAGCTTTTCCAAAATTTTATATAAGGAAAAAGCTAATGGAAAGTGTCTTTTCTTAAAAAAATATGATTAATTATATATTAATTTATCCATAAGTAATAGTCGAACGCTTCTTAATTGTTATCCTAAAAATATGCAATTTTTTTTTAAGTAATAAGATACGGTTTTTTGTATTAATGAATATAATTTAACTAGGCTATTGCTTCTTTTAAAGTAAATCGTTAGTTTTGTTGATGGGAACTTTCTACAAAATAGTCGTCTGGATGTTCCAAGTTCTTGATCAAGATTTTAAATGATCTTGAATGATCCAAATTTACTTATATTATGGAACATTTCTGACTTCTTCAAAAATTTTTCTAATTTCAGGTGAAGTAAAATATATTTTAATCTAAGTTTATTAAATTTCTTAATATGAGTGATTTTTAATCACAAAAAAACAATTAAATTATGATAAATTTTATGTTTAATCTGATATATTGTATTAATGATATCCATAAATTACATACATACATATGATAAAATAATTTTAACTTATATCTAATGGTTGTGACAAATGATAAACACATTGAGTATATTGGTCTTTTAAATTTTTCTTAAAAACACTAACATTTAATATATACTCAAATGAAGATTCACGACCAGATCGTAAATAACCGTTTAATAATTTAAGACGTGCATATTTTTCACCACAGAATCCTCTAAAATCATCATCTTCAACAAATACAGCAGCAATACCAGCTAATTTTCTATCAATAACATATCTTGATTTTATTTCTAAACTTCTTGTATTTTCGAATCCAATCCATTGATCATCTTTAAATGCATATGGATTTTTTTGTGTATCTTCCCATTTAATAGTCCATCCTTCTTTATCTAGTACTTGACATAATTCCATATAGCTCATAATACCAGCATATTGTAAATGTTGTGATTTGCGACCGGGTCCAACATGAAATGCACCTGGTTCTGTTTGATTTTCATATTTTAATGTAAATGTTCTACCAAATAATGGTATACCCATTATTATTCGTTTTGGTTCAGCACCACGATTTATCCAATTAGTTACAACTGAATCGACACTTAATCCTTTATCTTCTTCATTTGGATGAAGATATAAACCGCTAGCAATTCCAATATGTTTACTCCATTCCCCATATAAATCATATGAAGTCAAATAAATATAATCAACGTTTTGAGAGACATCTTTAACATTATACGAATCATCTATTTGACTTGTTAAACCTTGACAAATTGCGACAAGCAAAAGATTTTTTTTAGAAAATCTAAAATACAAGAAAAATATTTAATAATAAAATATTTTTCATATAGTTTTGTATATAATAACATACTCTTCTTTTAATTTTCTTAGCAGTGACGTTAAATTGTGCTTATCTCTATTTACATCTCCGCCATTTAAACCAGGATATGTCCAATGAAGTGCTAATCCATTAAAATTATGTTTCACTATAAAATCAATAGTGCTTTTTACAAATCTATCTTGATTTGCTTCATCTAGAAATATTAAAGAGTATCGTCTTGAACTTTCAGTTGGATCCCAACCACCAACAGCAACAAGAGTCTTCAGATTTACATTATAATGTTTTTTGTTATTAAATTTTCTAATATTACCTATAATAATAAGGATTCACAATATATTGAATATACTCATTAAAACATAATTTTTTAAAATCTTAAATAGTATGTACAATATACCGCTTTTAAATTAGTGTACAAAATAAATTTAATAACATTACTCTACTCTACCATATTTGGATACTGTATAATTACCTCGGCCAGATTTTTCTTCAAAATCTAAAATGGGATTTAATGATTTAATTACACCATTGTCATCTATACCCATATAAGCATATATTAGATGTGTACAATAACGTTCATCAATATATTCTACTTGAAAATTTCCATCGGCTTGTCGCTCAGCTGATCTTGTCAAATACATACAGAAAATCAATTCTGAAATTTTTTTTTTAATTATTATTATCTCAACATATTTGTTTATAATTATTATATATAAATTTTTAAAATGAGTGAAATTTTAAATTATATTTATGTAGATGTATATATAAATATATCAAACTCACTATCATCATCATTAGCTGCATTAATTATTTGATAATTATTAAAAATCAATAAAAGCAATATCCATACTGAAAGCAACATCTTCCCTATATTGAACTGATCTCAAAGAGCTGTAAAATAACTTTAAATATAAAAATCTCAGAGAAATTTGTAAAATTAAAAATTCTTATCTATTTTATTATAAAAATGGAAAAATTAATTAAAAATATTATATTGTTGTATTATAGAAACGAAAATATATTAATATACATACGCAAATTTAATAAAATAATTATAAACATATTTACTTATACAAATGTACGTTTTAACCCTTATAAATGTGTTGAAATTACTTGTGTTTTCGAATAATTATCCGTATTTCAAATATTTGTACTACAATCCCATTTAAAATTACAGCAAGTATAATGAAGGGAATTTAAGAAATGGGATGAAGAATTATGAAAGCTCATTCCACGTCCAAGCTCATTCCAGCTCCAAGCTCATTCCAGCGATATTACTGGCGGCTTTCTTAAAGTGTGTCCAATCCATCTCCACTTTTTTCTTATTTGTCTAACGACTACAGAGGTTTTCGTTTCATATATGTGCTTGTCAGAATATTCGAGATATTATTCACTATCCCAAGTGCCGTACAACAGAACCGGTTTTAAAGAAGACCGGAATATTCAAAATTTAGTCGCTCTGGATATCCGGTTGTTTCCCTAACCAGTTATAGTTTGACTAAGACTGTCCTTGTCGACTTCAGTCTGTTGTCTTTATCTATCTGAGCCTCACCATCAGGTATTATGGTACTGCCCAAATACAAGAAACAGTTGACCATTTTTATTTGTTGGCTATTGAATTCCAGACTGGCTATGCTAGACGAATTTATTTCATCGCCTTATTTTGTCTATATTTGTTCCTTGTCTGGCAAGTTGTTGCACTCAAATCATGCGGTTTACTTTTCCCGGAGTTCTCTTTTCCCATGTTGCATCGCGCATAATTGTATCGAAAGCCTCCTTGAAGTCGATGAAGAGCACATATAGTGGTGTTCTGTACTTTATTGACTGTCTGGCTACTATTCGAAGTTTGTTGGCTTGATCGACACAACCCCAATGCTGGCGGTACCCAAACTGCTCTTCACGTATTATGCTTTCTAATTACTCTCTGGGTTCTATGAAATAGATGATTTTGGATAATTTTTGCAAAAACTTTGCATGCTATATTTAGTAGGGTGATACCTCTGCAATTATCGCAATGAAGTCAAGTTGTCCTTTTTCGATAGTTTGATGACTAATCAGAGTCAAATATATTTAGATTTGTTAAATTATTCTTTTTATTGAAATTAAAGGTTGAAACTGATATTTCATTGTCATTGTAGCTGTTTGAATTAAAGATAATTCTGCTTATGTATGGTTATTCTACATGTTTATACATTTTATAAATGAACATTTACATACATATTATGTCAACAAGTAATAATCAATTATATTTTTATACAAATTCCATGCACGGAGGCTTCCGCCGAACTTCAGTATTGCTTTTTTTAAAAGCTCAAAAAAACAAATTTAGAAACTATTTAGTTACATATCAAATTTTCTTTATAAGTCACCTTTTTAAGGACGAATAATCTTCTACTGAGATCTTATTTAACTTCAGAAAATTTCCAAAATATTTAATTTTCTTTTGTTATTTAATATTTAATAAATTAGTTTGAACTTGTATGCATACATGCATATTTTACGAAAAATCCATATATGAATCTATAGATTTGGCTATTCAAACGTTTTTTCAAGTATAGCTAAAGGCTATAATATTAACGTGAATGCTATATGGATTGAGATTAAAATACGATCCGGTGAAATTTGTTGCTGGCCTGAATGTAGAACCTTTTCTTCCTTTCAAAACAAAAATAATCAATATAAGGTTATAGCTCACCTAAATTATTTTTTAATTTAAAATTGACCGTGCCCTCGAAATTTTTCTTACATACATTATAAATTTAATTACAAAAATTGTGAACGAATCTATTGAAGTTATTTGTTGAATTTCTAATAATTTTTATAATATTTTTAGTTAGTAGTTGCGTTCATATGAGAAGATTGATACAAAGGAAAAAAAAATGAAATTATTAAATAAATATTTAAAATTATTATTAATAGGTTTTTACTTGATAAGACTAGTTTTTACAATTGATGACAATAAATCAGATAGTAAGCAATAATTACAATTAAATAAATTCTAGGAATCCTATGTATTATCAATTTTATTTTTGCTTTTTCTGATCATTTCAGAGAAAATATTTTGTTTACATGATGCAACATCATCATACAGCAAACTCACAAATTTTGACATCAAATCTATGAATCCATTTTTATGCAGAAATTTAATATATGGATATATTGGAATATCACAAAATGGTGTTATTGATCTACGAAGCACTGAATTTAATAAAGACATGGATAATAGTACTAGTGAGTTTTTTTTCAAATCAAAATTCAACAATAATATCTTTAGGGCAATTTAATAAAATTAATCGTAAATATATATGTACATATTATGTACATAAATTGATATAAATAATCTTCGGTTATTCAAGAGCGAAAACTACAGAAAAAAATTTTTAATTTTGTTGTAAGCTAATACGCTAAAACAATGTACATTATAAATTTTATATGAATGTGTACATGTGCATGTATAACTGTTGACATCAACATCTTTTACACTCTTGTCATTTTTAACTTTATACTTATTTTAAAGTATTTTAAATATTTTTTAGTGTATCTATATTTTAAATATTTAAGCGTATATTAATTAACGGCACAGTAAGCGATAATCAAAATTTTTATTGTGATACATAAATTCTATAAAAGCTTCCCAAAAATGTTTCGCGGCAACTACATACATATGTATATTGAAATCTCCACTTACTGTATATGTTTCGATCCGTCCCCTTCTATCGACGGTCAATGTCTGCCATTAGGGGTGTTCTGTTTGAATATTCAAATCAGATTTTCGCTGGGTGGCTACTGAGGGATGCCAATATACGAAGGTTTTGCCTCCATCTTGCTCAAGGAAAATCTCTTTAAAACTTACTGGGGATGGATCAAAATTGTATTCGTGTTATTACTGGCTTCTTCAGTGCCCATTGTTAGGTGAAATATAACTTGCACACACTGGAAAAATGAATAATATAACAATTATTTTAATTTTTTTTCAGGATTTCGAAATAAAATGAATTATTTAAAAAGTATTAATCAGAATATGCAAATTTTAGCGGGTATCGGTGGTTGTTCTTTTCCAGATGAAACAACAGAAAATTTACTGTTTTCTATTGAAACAACAACTAAAAGAAGTAAAATGATAAATAATATTTTGAAATTTGGTCAACAACATCATTTTAATGGTTTTGCCTTACATTTATGCAATCCAGAGTTTTCGATTGAGAGCGATAATTTAAATAATTTTAGAAAATTGTTTAGTACCTTTTTAAAAGCCTTTAAACAAATGTAATAAAAGTATAATTTTTATTTAATTTTTTATAATATTAACATAATTTTTTTTTTAATAATAGGTTACATGCTAAAAATTTAATTTTAGTTACAATAATTCAAAGTGAAATTCCAACGATTGTTTATCATCCAAAACATGTATCGAATTTTTCCGATTATGTCTTGTTAACAACATATGATTTCGATAAATTTAAAATGAATGAAAACATTAATATTCACAACGCCCTCTATAAAAATCCACAAGACTTAGATGCGAAATCGAATGCAGATTATGCTATAAAAACGTGGATTGCAAAAGGTTGACATACGCTATTTTTTGTCACTTTTATGTCAAATTTCATATAATTTAGTAAAGTTTATTTTAAAAAATTCATATTTTAATTGTTTAATTTAAAATTAATTATTCAATTTAAAGTTAAAATATTTTTAATTGTTTTTTTAGCTTTATACATTTCTTAATTGTGTTATTTTCAATTGTAGGTGGTAAAGCTGAAAATCTTTTGATGGGAATATCACCGCACGGACGCTCTTTTAATATTAAATTTCAAAATAAAACAGAACCTGGTTCACCCATTAAGTGGAATGATAATAGTGAAATTAATAGTAATAATTTTATACCTTACAATCAATTATGTAAAAGGCTTGATTTATCTAATTGGATTATTAAATGGCAAGAAGATCAAAAAGTTCCATATGCTTATAAAAATTTCAAATGGATTAGTTTTGAAAACAGAAGAAGTATTGAAGTAAAAGCTGAATATATTATTAAAAATAATTTAGCAGGTGGTGGTTTTATGAATGTAGAAAACGATGATTTTGAAGGCACTTGCGGTAAACCAAATTACCCTTTAATAAGAATATTAAATCAAAAATTGATTGGTGTTGATATCGAAGATAGATTTGATGAAGATAGAAAAATTAAAAAAGAAATTGTAATACTAATTAAGTTTTCAAGAAAAAATATAAATGCCATGAGTGAATCATCAGAAAAAGTTTTTAATAAATTAATTACCTTTGAAATAAATTTGTGAAAATTAGAAAATCTACTTTAATTTTTACAATAAATAAACTTTTCAAAACTAAATTTTTGATATAAACTTTTTTGATTTGATCAAGAGGCAAAATTGAATTTTATATTTTTTCTAATTGGAATTTAGTATGAATTGGTTCCAATAACTGAATTAAAAATTTTTTACAGAATATTGCTTGATTTATTAGTTGACTTGGTACGTAAATGTTTTTGTGAAAATTTGCTAAGCAAAGAAATTAACTGCAGCTATTATTCCCTAGAGCCAAATTAGTCCCGTGAGCAATGACTTTTTAATTGAGAAACTACAATTTTTATTTAGTTCTTATAGTAAAGAATTCTTTTTTTAAATTTTATATCATTTACTTCTTCCGTAAAATCAATATTTCACGGGAGAGGGCCTTGTAAGGTTCTGTACCTCTATGTATTAGTGTTAATCATACTTATATTGCTTCGAATAAACAACACTCAGTACTAAAATAATGAAAGAAGATGAGAGTTTTTGAAAATTTAATATTTAATAACAGATAAGATATTTTATTATATTATGTATGTACGTAACGTTTGTATATCGATCTTTGAACTCAAGATTTTTTTCTACATATGTAAGTCATCATTGTGCGACGTACGATTGTATAAGTCGCACAAATATTAAAATAATCTGGCATTTTGACACTTGAGTCTACATAAAAAAGCACTCCGGCTATAGAAGATGTACCAACTCAATTAGTGCTATGTTCAAATAAGCTGTTCATTGGCTATTAACAGTTCAATTGTTTGTTTTGTAAATAAACTATCATTGATTAATGTAGAAATTAAGCATAAATTTATTTGACAGAATGAAATTTAAATGACTGTAAAATTAGCACTCTCAATTCAATATTTATTAAATCTGAAATAGATAGGCATATTTTTGAAAGCATTGTTCCTAAATGAATTATAAAAGTAGTTATTGGTGACAGTATAATATCGATGAATCGAGATGGAATATTTTTCACTGACGGGTGCGACATAATAATTTTTTGTTTACAAACTTGTATGGTGTGCATAATATACACTTATAGAAAAGGAAACGCACGAGTTCTATATGTATTAGTTCATTTAGCATTTTAAATCCAAAATACAAAATTTAATAATTTTATTTAAAATAGAAATATTCAAGTGAAAATAAAGAAAATTGTATAATGGACAACGTTAAATTTTATATATTTTCATATATACTTTTTATTTTAGTGATGAGTTCAACTAAAGCTAAAAGTAACTAATTTAATAATTGCATATTTAAATTATAAAATTTATAGTATTTCAAATAAGAAATAAAAAAATTAAAATTTTTTTTTTCGATTACAGAAGAAGTATTTTGCATCCATCATATTTTAACAGCTTACGATAAAGAAACTGGCTTTACATTAGATGACATTGATGTTAATTTGTGTACCTATTTGGTTTATGCCTATTTTGGTATAACAGAAAGTGGTCATTTAGTATCAAAAAGACCGATGTTAGATCATTATAAAGGTTGGTAAGTATATTTAAAACTTATGAGAGTATACCCGGAATATACGAAACACTGATAAATATAACAGCGCATATGTATGTTTTATAATTACATGCATATACATATTTCGAAACAAGGTGTAATCAAAATTATTAAACATTATCAATTTTGTAGCTGTAGGAAAACGTCCATAAGAAATGTACACTAGGTTTGTACATATGGAAGAAAATAATTTTGACAAATTTTTCACTGTTTTACTTTTGTTCTAATTATAAGTGTACATAGGTGATCACGACCATGTATTATACAAACCTTTTTTGCTGATTTTATAGGAGCCTGTATAAAATCGGCAAAAAATTAAAGAAAAAGAACAAACTTTTCTTAATTTAGTGGCAATTCTAAATTTAGTGTAGAGTATTTGATCGTGATTTTTTTGAAAAATGTAGCAAATTTGCTATTCGCATGCACGGAACTGCAACTTTAATTGCTCTAATTACCACAACTTACATTATTTGCTCATAAGTTCTTAATTTGCGAATTAATTTTGATTTTTAAATTTAATATTTTTCTTGTTCGATTAAAATCATGAAAACAAAAGTTTATTTCATATTTTATTGAAGGTTAATTTTTAAATTTTATTTACATACTAAGAGTTTCTTTAACCGATGATTAAGAATTCAAAGTATTAAAAACATACATACATACGCAAATTAAAGAGAAGGAGTATTGTACTTATATATTTTAAATATTATCTCTTTCAGAAAATGTTATTAAGTTCAATAATTTAAAAAATGATAACGGTGAATTGAAAACTTTACTTGCTATCGGAGGCTGGGAAAATGAAAATTCACCAAAATATTCTAATGTGGCAGCCGATCCAGGTAAAAAAAGGAATTTTATTAGAAGTACTACAGAATTTATAAAGAAATATAATTTTGATGGGATTGCTTTACATTGGTGTTTCCCTGGAATGTTTGGAGGTGATCCAATCTATGATAAAATTAATTTTTCGAGATGGTTAAAACAGATAAAAAATGAGTAAGTATATGCAACATATAATTAATAATAGTATCTTTGAATTTATTGTAATTTTTATTTATAATAAATTCAAAAATAATATTGTAAAATCTTTAGTATTGAATGAATAGATGTAATTATAATTCTTGTGTTTGGACATTTTGTTAATATTAAAAATATTGTAGGTTTGCAAGGTTAGACTTTAAATTAATGGTAATGGTTCAAGGTGAAGTAAATAACATTGATCTATCATATGATGTTCCTGGTATAAATGAATCGGTTGACTTCATTTTTTTAACAACATATGATTTATATGGTAAATGGAGAGATCATATTGGTATTCATAGTGGGTTGTATAAATCTCCTAACGCAAATGTTGATTATTTAAATGCTGATTTTGTTGTACGAAATTGGATTGAAAACGGTACCTATATAAATTTTATTTCGAAAATAAAATAAATGCATGCACATTTTTTACGATATTAATACGTACATATATAAATATTTTTTAGGTGCCGCACCAGAAAAACTAATAATGGGTATTCCATTTTTTGGACGAACATTTACGCTTGCCGATGCAAATGAAAATCAACCAGGTGCAAAATTTTCTTATGTTGGTGAACATGGAGAATTTATGGATTATTTAAATATATGTAAAAATACTAAAAATGGTAATTGGATTCTTAAATGGGATTCTGATGCTATGGGTCCTTACTCTTATAATGGTAATCAATGGGTTGGTTATGATAATATTCAAAGTATACAAATTAAAGGTAAATATATAGATAAATATAAATTAGGTGGGGCAGCTGGTATTTTTATAGAAGATGATGATTTTAGAGGTATTTGTGATAATGAAAAATATCCATTGTTATCAACATTAGCGAAAGCTATGGGACTTAATGTTAAAAAAGAAATTTCTAAGCTTCTTATTAACATAAATTTACAAAAGAAAAATAAGAAAAATCAAGAGCAAGAAGTTGTCCTTAATCATAATGAAAAATTTGAATTGTAACATTGTATTAAGTATTTCTTATCCTAAAAGCCAGATGATTAAATTTTATCTAAATAATGCTAAGTAATTAATAGTTTTTATATAGCTACTGTAATATATAAAATGCATGTCTTGAATAAAGTATGTTATATAAACAAAATGCCATCAATTAGAGATATTAAGCATAAGACAACAATTATATTATGAATACTAAACTAGTTTATTTATATTCAACAAATTCGGTAGAGTATTTTTAACTGTCGCATACAATATCATCTTAAGATTTTATTTATAGGAATATAAGCATAATTATGCGTGTATAAAATGTTATTTACAACATGTCACAATCTTGTATGTATAAAAATTATAATTTAATCATATCTTAAGTTTCAAAGAACATCCTCAGATCTAGAAATTTTTAGTATAGTCATAAGTAAAGAATGATTTTTGTTGCCAAATTTTTGTAAATATATTTCACGTTAAAACCTTATTTTCAGTATTTTGCATTATTTACATAAATGTATATATTTCTTTTACAACAATATAAAAAACGAATACGAGTACTAAACATGAAGGTTGAGTTCACTATAGTAGTACTAAACTAGATCTGCAAAATATGCAAAGAGTTTTATGGAGTTTTCAGATTATAGCATATACTTTAAGTTTGTAGTTTTACGAAAGTTTAGCGCATCACTCTCTGCATACAGTTATTTTTTTCTGCCAATTTGTCATATGAAAAATTTAAATATTTTTGTAAGTATGTATGTATATATTATTCTTTAATTATTTCTTAATTTATTGAACACTTGCATATTTTTTTAAGAATTATAATCATGGAAGAACTTGAAAATGGAAACGAATTCAATTTACTTTGTTTAGATATTAATGCTGGGAAAAAATAAACAAACAATGAAGAAAAGTTGATGAGTCTAATCAGACTAAGAGTTGAACGTTTGAAAATGCAGTGTTGTTTTGAATAACATAAAAAAAAACCTTCACCTGATTTAAATTTTCTTCATTACAAAATTTTAAAACAGTTCCAAAGTTTTTAATATTCAAAATAAATTCCTGGCGTTTTTAGATAATTGCAGTACAGCGATTGAATTGATCCGCACACATTATACTTACTTTTGCAAATTGCAAAACATGAATTTAACCGAATTCCTAAATGAATTCAAAATTTTCAAAACTTCATGTTATTCCGGCGCATAATAAATTTTCATTTCAATTAATATCGTTGTCAGAATAGTATTTTTAAACATATTATTTAAATATATTATGGGAATATGACAGCTAATCTGCTCTCAACAAATTTAGAAATGCCTTATAATTCGTAATTGTGCTGTTACTGGAAAATTCTCTTTGATTGGTTCGTGCTTTGCTATCTATCGTTTGAATATAATCAAAACTTTTTTAAATGAAACAATCATTTTTTATTAATTTTAAATAACATTTTGTTATTATTTTTATTTATGTATTTATATAATATATTTATTTTATACTTGTATATATATTTATATATATATATATATATATATGAATGCATAATGCACATTATTTTGTAATCTTAGTTTTATATTTCATTTATTTTATGCAATATATATATACATATGTATGCATGTATAAATATTTTATTATTAACTCTTTTATTTCTGAATTTTTTTTTTTACATACATATTATTATTACATATAATTTATATGTATATGTACATAAGTATATAATATATTTTTTTTAAGTATAAAAAATGAATTAGAGAAAAATTATTTTTCGCATTATTTATTTTTTTTTTTTTTGTTTTTTTTTTTAATTTGTTCTATATTTAATATTCAAATCGGTTTTTTCGTATAATTTTCCTTAAATTTTAAACAAAATTTTCTTAGCATTCCTATAATAGCCTATAGCCCATGTCTTTCGCTCTCACGTATTTTTTGTAAATATTTTACTTTTTATTTTGTTAAAAAGTTGTATAATATATGTATGTGTGTTTGTGTTTTAAATAGTTTCATAATATACTCTTTTTTAATATTTAAATTTCGATTTTTTTGTTTTTTTTTTTATATCAAATCTTATGTGTGAAAATTAATATTTTTTTTTTACTTTATTAAATTAATTTTTTTTTTTGGTTGTTTAGTTTACATTTTTGTTTTTCTTTTTTTAACTTTTTTTTGTATCTTACATGTTTTTTGTAATTTTATTTATTAATTTATAATAATATAACATTAAGGTATACATAATTCTAACATATTTGCATTATTTAAATATTTAAATTTTATATTGTATGTATTTCATATATGTTAATGCTTGCTGTATATTTATTTTGAAAATTAGTGGAAAGGTCCTTAAAATAAAAATCTTTCAAAATGAAAATTGTGAGCACTTTTTTTGCAATTTCTACAGAAATTTTTATTAAATTCTTTTAAAAATAATATTAAAGAATAAAACAATTGGTAGTCTAATAAATTTTATTATGTAATTACGCATCACAATATTATCATGTCATAATTTTATAAATGCAATATATTTTTTTAAACTCGTACACTCTACAAATTCCACTCGTACAATTCTACAAATTACGAATTTAACTACGACGTAGACTTTAAAATGATCACATGGTTTAGAAACTCAAACTCAACAAAAAACAAATTCAAAACTTAAAAATTTTAAAAGTACTGTTCTTCTTTAAATTGCTTGTTTTGTGTTTTTGTTTCTTAATTATTGATAATCGGAGCAAAATTTTATTAATTCCGAATTGACAATATAACATTCGTAATTTTCCGAATTTTAGGGTTACAAACGGTTCTTCTTAAAATTTTAAACTATCAAAATAAATTAAATAAAATTGAAAAACAAAAAAACAATTTAAATAATGCAAATATTTCTTATTATTATATGATTTCACTTTAAATTAGTATATATATATATATACATTAATGTTTTTATTATAAAAAATTTCATTTTAATATATAGATATTATTTTACATGATATATATATATATAACTACTTTAATGAGTATTAATAATATTTATTTTAAAAATTTATTTACAATAATATTGTTTGTTGTTGTTTTTCTCAATTTTATCATTTTATATTGTGTAGTTTTTTTTTTGTATTTTTGTATCATTATGTGAATTATATTTGATATATATTTATATATATATAAATTATATAATATAATATTTTCATTCATCTTAATCAATAATTAATAAACTTAATAATAGATTTTATGGAAAAATTTAATAATTATTAATAAATATTGTATAAACTAGTTGTTATATATATATATATATATATATATATATATATATATATATATATATATATTATATATATACTACATATTTAGCAGTAAAATTATAAAAAAAAATATATAGACATATATATATATATATATATATATATATATATATATATATATATTTATGTATATCTTAACGGTTTGTTTTTTGTGATTTTCTTTTGCATTCTCTTCTATTTTTTTTGTTTAATTTATTTTAATAATTTTTAATAATATTCAATTATAATTTTTCTTTGTTGTATTTTTGTTAAATTTACTTGTAATATTTTCATGATTATTTTTACGTATAATTTTTTTTTTTTTAAATTTCATATTTATTTTTAATTTTATTCTTTTGGTTATTATATTAATTCTTTTCATATGCATATACAGTTTTTTCTGTTTTTTATTTTTACTATATATATATATATGTATGTATATCACTTAATTGTTGTTTTTTTTTTATTTTATTTTAAATTCTATATATATAAATAAAATTATTTTTTTTCGCGAATCTCAATTAATTTTTGCTGATAATTTGATTTTCTTTTGTCTATTATCATAATATACCAGTGTATGAATATTATGTATTATATATTTTAATATATATATGTCATTTTAATATATATATATATCGGCCACTGTCATCATTGTCAAAAAAGAAAAATGAGTAAAAGAGAAAAACTGCCATTCACAAAAGAAACAAATGAGTGAATGATAAACAGCTATATCATTCAAAATGGCAACTATTTTTGACAGTTTATTTATTAATGATGACATAAAAAAATGATAAGTTTACAAGATTGTGAATGATAAAAACAATGATGACAGATCTCATAGATTTTTGACATATGTATATAAAAACATTTTATTTTTTTCATTTTATTCTTTATTTATTAATTACTCAACACTCTAAGCTTTCGAATTCAGTATCAATTTAAATATAAAAACTTTGATTTCAAATTTTATTACTGTTTTATTATTAAAATGATTGCAAGGATTTCAGTTTACTTTTTTTAATTAGAGTTCTTTTTTTTTTTTTAAATATATCAATAATAAATTATGTGATATAAAATATTTGAAAGAAATTTGAGAAATTAATTAAAATATGTAATGCAAATAAATTTTACAAAACAAAGAATACAGAAATTAAAAATGTGGTAGAACTCTTAAATTTAATTGTAAACATTTTGAAATTTAATAATTTCGATTTCATTTCTTACTTTAAGTTTATTAATACTATTTTTCTGGTATTTTCGGAATAAACATTATAGGGATCATCGATTATCATTATTATAAAAATTACATATTTATATAAAAAATGTAATTTGGAAATTATGACAAATTATTATTTTCAAATTAAATAGTGAAACTAAAACAATATACATAATAATAATATAAATATTTTTATTAATAATATAAATATATATAAAATAGGTACAAAAAATAATATAAATAAAAAATATTTTTTATATTAAAAAAGTATCCCAGAATGATTTGAATTTTAATATAAATAAGAATAGTAAAGGTTTTTCGTCTGAAAATGCAACTGCAAGAACAGTGAATGACAACTGCAAGAAAGTAGAATTAAAAAGTTTTTGCAAATCTTTTGCTAATTTATTTTTGAAAATGCAATTTTTGTACTAAATTGAAATTGTCATTATTTTATTTGCCTTATATATGAAAATCAAAAAAAAAAATGGATATTCGGAAGAACTTTTTGAAAAATTATAAATCTTAAAAACATCTAAAATATATTGTTGAAGGAAATAGAGGTAAGTGTTTAAAATTTTTTTTTTTAATTTTCAATTAATAAACTAAAAATTCTATGCTGCATGAAAGTTCTTTTTTACTTGCAGTTGTATAGTTTTCCAAAAATCTGCTATTGCATTTCTAAAATTTTAAAAGAATTGCTTTATTCTTATTAAACATACACACTGCAATCTAGAATTGCGTTTTTAAAAGAACCTTACATTTTAATCAATAAATTTTAATTTCATATATTAAAAATTTTTATATTAACCTTTGAATTGAATATTATTAGAGTTAAAATTAAAAAAAAAAACAAAAAATTAATTCAAAAATGTAGCTAGAGCTGTTTGTTTTTCTTACAATATTATAAAGCGAAGGTACTTTTGATTATAACATTGAACGGGCATTATTGTTAAATATTTTATTTTATTGTTTGTG